CCAGTGAATTATACCCCATGAAGGGGAGTGAGGAGAGGAAAACAGTCCTGAGACGACTGTGGTCTGTAAATGCCTGGGCTTTGTGACAGTGCACATTCGTTTTCCTGGCTTCTCTGAAATGTGGGCCTGACCTGACGGGAGAGGCCCGCTTTGCTGACAGGTTAAATACTCACTTGCAACTACTTCATCCAAGATTCAGACCTGAATTAGGGAAGAAGCCCACTGCTAGTGTTTCCCCAGCCCAAGGTATAGGCGGTCTCTCTCTCCCCAGAGTGGCCCACACAGCCCAGCCCATCTCCTGGCTTCCTTCTCTCCCTGGGGCTGCCAGGGCTGGCCTATGTCAGGGTGGTCAGTGCTGCTGAGGACCTCCAGGGAGGCTCTGGGGTTGGGGGCGGCCTACTTCTCCTGGATTTCTCAGGTAGCAGTCAAGACACAGATGGAGAAGGCAACATGAGGCTGGCGGAGGGAAGTGAAAATAAAAGATGAGGGAAGAGACACAAAGACAGCATCTTCTCCTCAGGGGAACCTATGTTTGAATCCAGATATAATTGAAATGATATCACATTCATGCTTTCACAGGATACTACCTACCTCCCTTGCTACCGGAAATGTCTCGGTAACACACCATCGAAGGCTAATGCAAAACACTTGCAAGCGGGATTAACTAACTGGAGGACGACTCAATTTTTAGGTGATTCATGATTAAGTTATTTTGCATCCAAACATATTCAATGGGTTAATGAAACCAAATAATGCTGATCACAAAGATTTTGAATATTACTTTTTTATACTAAATGAGGTCATGATGGGTGGAAACTAATTTGTGAAGAAAAAATAAGCAAAACTGTAAAAGTTTCCCAAAGGAGAAAAAAAAATCATTTGCAAACGTTTTTGAGTTTTTAGACAATAGACAATTTATTATTAAAATTTTTGAACTGGATAAGACTAAAATAAAATGAGTTCTAAGTCCTAGACATCTCAAAAGTAAACTCTAATTCAGAGAAACCAGAATTATTATTTTGATCTTATAGGAAGAACTATCTCATATTTATAATAGAATTCTCCCTGTGGAAATTGGCACATGATTAAGGAAACCCAAAAGTGGTAAAATTTCCTCAGAGAAATACCTCCTGTATCCTCTCCCTCTCTACGTAACAAATACAACGGCACTTGGAAGGTTGCATTCGTATATTATGCAACTTCATTCTTTGTCTTAAAGGAAAATACAGATATTTCTTTGAAGGATAAGGAGAAAATGAAAGGAATTAAATTTATATACAATTTACATATAGGACCTTTCATGACATCAAGGCATATCTCTCTAGTCCTATGTTGACTCATAAAAAAGATCACAGCACTTAACACAGAACATTGACAGTGTTTTAAGCTTCGTTTTAGAAATTCCACCAATGACATAAAATATGCAGGAAAACATTCACATGTATGGAATGTCATGTGATAGCTATTTTCTTCTTTATTCTTTTTAATGTTACTTAAATATTATACAAGGAACATGTATTACGCTCTTTTTCTGGAGTATAATTGCTTTACAATGCTGTGCTAGTCTCTTCTGCACAATGAAGTGAATCAGCCATATGTATACATATATTCCCTCCCTCATGAGCCTTCCTCCCTCCCCCACCTCCAACCTACCCAACCCAGGCCATCACAGGACGCTGAGGTGAGCTTCCTGCTCTTTATAGCAGATTCCTACTAGCTATCTATTTTACGCATGGGCATGTTGCAGTCCATGGGGTCACAAAAAGTCAGACACGACTTAGCAACTAAACAATAATTGCGTATATGTCAATCCTAATCTCCCAATTTGTCCCACACTCCCCTTCTCCCACCCACATCCATTCTCTAAGTCTGCATCTATTTCTGCCCTGGAAATAGGTTCATCTGTACCATTTTTCTAGATAAGACAAAAAACAACAATTTTTTTAAACATTTACAATGCAATCTTAACTTACTATATTTCATTCAATGTCACAATAGAGAATTTTTTTTCATTTTTAATTGCTCTGCAGAGACATCAGTGAGACTCTATCTAATTTGTTCTCCACAATGAGAACAGGAGAAGATACCATGAATCAGAAAAGTAGTGGCTGAGCGGGGACAAGGGTCTCCATAAAAAGAAAGGTACACAGCATAAAGCATACTGTGCCAAGACCAAGAACTGCCTGTCTATCACATGCCAACATGGCACTACCCACTGACCTCAGGCCTTGGAGGAGCACCGCCAGGTAGCTGCTGCCATGTCTAGTCTACAGACAAAGAATCTGAAGCTCAGCAAGCTACCAGGACCACACAGCTAGCAAGTGGCAGAGTTGAGGTTACACCCAGCCTGGAACCTTCTTAGTCCTTTGCTTCTCAAAGGCTCCCTAAGGCTTGGTCCTTGCTGGAGATTGCCTGAGAACAGAATTCTCTTTCCATGTCGACCCTGTTTCTTTCCTTTCTCCTGCCACATCTGTACTTGGAAGAAAGAAAGAAATCCAAGATCTACCCAATACTGGCCACTCTCACTTGAAAATTCATGAAGGTGAACCTCTCAGTTGGAGAGTGAGGTCATCAACAAAGTGAGTGACAGTCAGGATAGCTCAGCTCTGCCTTCCTGAGCTCCCCTTGCCTCTTCCAGTGAGTGGCTGGCCCAGAAGGGGGTTCTGCCCCTACACCACACATAGCAGAACATAAGCTCACCTCCCACCATACTCTATCCTCCAAACTTCAGTACACAAAGATCCTCAGAGCATTCTCAAAAGCTCTCCAAACTCAGGCACCCAGCCTGTTACACAGTGACTCCCCCATCCTTTACTGTGCCACTGTAGCTATTGTAGCAATTTTCAAGAGCAGAAGGCAAGCATCTGTCTGGCCACCTAACAGTTCCCATTCTCTCTGTTCATGTCAACGTCATTTCTCACGACTTCTGCCAAGATGCTCATCATATTCCTGCTCACAGTCCAGGGATCATAATACAAAATAAATCACCAAAGAGCAAAGAAATAGAAATTTGCAAAAAGGGATGAATCTCTACAGGCCTGCTCTCCAGTTTTTGCTTTCAACACATTCCTTTGAAATGGGATGAAGACCAAAGGTGTGGACTGCTAGGGTCCTGGGAGAAGTATAGCCTTTCCATTCTATTTCAGACAGAGAAGGGTCCAATCCAAATTTACGACTGGGCTAGGAAAGCATCCAACAGAGGCATTAATGCTTGCTAATCATTTAATTAATGATAGAAGATATGATAATAGCCAACAATGACAGAGTACTTAATACTTGGGGGCATTACTGGGTTAAGCAGATGTATTTACGTTTATCATCTCATGGAATCTGAATGATGGCTCTTCAAGGTAGGTTCTTTTACCATCTGCATTTCCCAGATAAGCAAACCAAGGTTTGAATAACTTAAATAACTGTTCAAGTTTGTATAGCTGGGCTGGATTTTTAGCTCAGAGAGACCACAAAGTTCTTAACTACTGTGCTCTATTGCTTTCTATTCAAGCTGCCCTGGTGGCTCAGCGGTAAAGAATCCACCTGCCAATTCAGAGACACGGATTCGATCCCTGGGTACAGAAGATCCCCTGGAGGAGGAAATGGCAACCCACTCTGGTATCTTTGCCTGGAGAATTAAATGGAGAGAGGAGCCTGATGGGCTATAGTCCATGGAGTCACAAAAGAGTCAGACATGACTTAGCGACTAAACAACAACTGCTTCCCATCAGACTTTCAAGTGATGGGTATTTAGTTTCAAAGTGAAGCCTGGTTTGTCTATCCAGGTGCTTAACTCACTCCAGAGTACATTAAAGATCTTTCTATTTCAATATACAAGGGTGAGGTCAATCTATTGGGTGGTTTAGGGAGGAGAAAGAAGGGAACCCAGAGAATTCAAATTACAACCAGAAAATGGCTTGAAGAAACTAAACACATGAGTTGGAGTCAAATGGTTTGACAGATGCAGCCATGTTCAGGAATTTGTGATGACAAGGATCATCCTTTTTCACCACACTTTGAGCTGACTTTATAGAACTTTATCTTTTACATCCAAAGATCAAATAAATTTTTTAAAAATCACATTTAATGAGAACTAGGGGAAATAAACTGGTGGCAATTAAAGAGTAAAAATAACTTCTCTGTGGCTTCAGACCACAGGAGTTTTCTCATTTTAAGAGGCACGGGCAAATCACTTAAACAAAGCCTTTTGGGGGTGTGTTCATCTCATGTTTCCTCCCACACCCAGTGGTGGTTAAAGTTATAGATAGTCACAGTTCTTGAACCCATGGAATCCTGTAGTAAATGGAAGTATAACCAGGCCAAATTCATCCATTCACAAATGCAACCTTGTAGCATGGATGTCAAAGCCAAGTCTCCTTTATAACCAGTTGCTTTGTATGGAAGGGGGTTAATCAGAATTAGAAAAGGTTGTGGACTCCACAGTCTTAATGAGAGACCTTCCTTCCTCCATCTCTTAAGCCCTGTTTCTATACTCCTCTAACTCTGGACACAAAGTCTCATGGTTGGCTAAAATCCAAGGAGCTCTCATCTGGCCACCTCGTTTGTTATGTGCAGATTTGTTTGGGGCTAGACCATGGGAAAGACCTGATGAACCCTTCCTCAAACCTAGAATAACCGAGCTCACTGAAATACCCAGAGGCAGCCAGAGTGATTTGAGATTCCCATTTCTGACCTAAACCATTGTATTTCAGGCCAGAATTTGGGAAGCACTCCTCAATCTTAGAGTCAAGCTAACACCTGGAAAAACCCTAGGGTGTCCCTTGCTTCCCAGGGAACCTGCAGACACAAAAATAATCCAATTTCTTATTTTGAGACATAATGTGGGACTGATTCAAGAGGAGATCAGTCTCAAGACAAGAAAGAAGTAGGGGTGTTTAGACTATGCTCTGGGGGCCCTGCTACACCAAGGAATTTGACAGTTTCTGTTCCAAGGTCAAGTCTATCCCTGGTGTGTAACCGAAGCCCATTCCTGAAAGCACTGTACTTACCGGTAGAAAGTAGTGTAGTCCACAGTTGAGTGGCAGGTTTGAAATTCCCAGGATTTGAGTTTCTGGCATTCCCGATGGGCTCTAAGCTTTACCTTCACTGTCCCTTGACACAGTTCAGGTACTGGTTTTCTCTGGGGTCTGTTGCAGAACTCATTGGACTCCACTCTCCAGGACTCGGCAAAGTCATCCACATCAAACTTGAAGCTTCCGTCTCCACCAATTAAGTCATCACGTTTATGTCCATTGTAGTTGCCACAAAGACCACAGAGTTTGCCCTTGAGATGGGGGGCAGCCATGACTTCTACAAAACTGTCTCCATCCCAGGATATTTCCAAACCTAGAGGAAACAAGGAGCAATCACTCTTGAATCCACCAACAGTTTTCAAGTGTAGATTCTTATATAGTACATATGACTGTCCTCTAACAAGGAACACGAAGGACCTCACTGAAATCTTGATTATCTTTCAATCTCTGCACATCAAAGATTGTGTGATATAACACAAATCACTTATCGGGGCTTAGAACTTTTTAAACGTATGAGGTTTGCCCTTACAATGTTATCTTACGTAGTTGACCATGTTATTCTAGGGTTTATATTTTTGCCCTTTTTCAGAGTAATTGTCTTGGTTCACATCTTGTTTTCATTTATCCAACAACTACTACAATGTGGAAATGATAAGATGTGTACAAAGATAAGAAAGATGATAATTTGCAATGTAATTTTCTCTTCAATATTCCCCCCATATGATGATATTTAGTGCCAAGTGAAAGTTTCCAAATTATTTGGCATAGTGGAAGTATTAAAGTAATAAATATAAAGCTTCTGAACACATCCCCTTCAAAGGATAACACTCATACAAATGAAAACATTTGCCTCTTCATTATTTTACAGTCATCCATGAGATAGACACAGCTGTTTAAACCATGCTTCCATGGTTAAGATGTCATGAGACCTAGGTTGGGGCCTCCATGCATACCCAGGCTGATCATAAGCTTCAACATTTGAGCAAGCAGGGAGGCTACCAGGCTACAGATCAAAATTCCTCACGGGCTGGACAGAATCACCTGGACAGCACTGTTCACTGAGGAAAGGATCTTCACTCCACAAGGCTAAGAACATAATCCTCTCTTGGTTTGCTGAACTGACCATCTAAACAGTTGGAGAATTTGTCTGAGAACATTCATTTTCTCCAGACCTGCTAGCCCTGAGTGTCTAGGATTTACTGTAACAAATGACCCCACTGAAGAGTGGAATTTCTGTCATGGGTCAGACAGCCAGGTTCTGCTGTCACACAGCACAGATCAGTTTGATCAGGATGTCAGGAAGAAATGATGCAGTATGTAAACACATTACCCATAAGACAACGGAGAGGGTTTCAAGAAGAGTCTTTTGAGGATCAACCCAGAGCAAATGATGATTCTGGTATTATCATTTTCTTTATGTCTCAAGTGTGTGGTGGAAGCTCTTTTTACTGTTCTCTTGGTAGTATCTTGGCAGTGCCCGAGCCGCCCAGTGAATGGATGAACTAGGTACCAGTGTTGCAGATGAGCACCAAGGGGACATCTACAACAGGTCACAGTGCATTTCTGCCCTGGACTCCTCCTCACTCACTGTCACTGTCTCCTAAGAATGACAGCTCACAAAGAATGCTCCATTTTAAAAAAAAATAGAAAGTACCCCCAGCTGTGTGTCTTCAATCTTACCCTCTTGGATTTCTGACAAAATCTAGTCTTTGATTTAGTCCTTTCTGAATATCCAGAATGAGCTTCTTCTTCTTTTTTTTTTTTAAAAGAAGACTTTATCTTTGTTCCTGAAAGATCAATATTAGCCTGATGAGTAAATGCTCAGAAGATGCTCAGAAGTTGGGAGATAAGGTGGTGATGAGAAAGAAGAAAGGGGTGGGGAGGGATGGAATGGATCTTGTCTGAATATAAAATTGGCATAAGGCAACATTAGAGTGATGTAAGATCAGCAGGAAACACCCAGAAGTAAGAGGCTACAGATAATATTCCCCAAGCCAATATTATAAAGCCAATATTCCTTTGGTCATGGTCCTAGAGGAGAGAAGCCTGGCCAAATAGCATTCTGTGAGCAGGCCACACAACTGACATAAGAGTTACAGATCTGCTTTAGTGGAAATTATTGGTAGAATAAACCAATGGTCTAAAACTGGATTTCTCAAGAAATAAACCAAAAGACTCACATGGAAATCATGGTATAGTACATGAAAGGAATGGAAGCATTCTCAGCCCAAGGCAAATAGTAGAGAAGGTTTCTTGGTCAGGAGAAGCAGCTCAGTTCCCAAAATCAACTGAATAGAATTCGGTAAAAAGAAGGGAAGAAGGTCATAAGAAAGTCTCTTTTGGGCTGTGGGAGTAACTGAGTGAAGAGAAGACAATGATGGGACAAGGTGATCAGAGCAAGGACACGCTGCTAGTCTGTCCACACACTGGACTGATCTACTGTGAGGAACTCAAATATCGGGTCAATTCTGACCATCACAACTACTGTATAAAACAATTTCTATTTCTTCATGCCCCATCATCAAACACATTATCTGGCGCATAGTATATTCTCACTAAATGAATGAATTACCCTGTAAATTGATACAATGGGTCAGCAAAGCCAAAGAAATTTGTGAATTTCATGCCAGTTAAGACACTGAAATAACATTTTGCAAAAAGACAAGCAAACTATAATTTGATTTGTAATATACTCTCTAAGGTATAGAAGAAACTTGACCTCATACTCTTGTAACTAGGCAGCTGCCCAGCCAGAGAAACGAAGGGAGAAAATCAATTCCATACAACGCTCTAACTTTTAGAGCATAATTCCAAAGATTTTCCACCTTGCAAAATTTTCCAAACTACAAATCTCTTTCCTAGACAGCAGGCAAACGCTGCTCTTCCAAGTGCCACATTGGTCGAGAATTTACATCCAAGGAGCTCCAGCAAAATTACTGGCAGTGATACAATAAATTTGAGATTTTGGGCCACTGAGTTCATGGGAATTCAACTCACAGGGAACAAGTCAGTCACTCTTTCTTTACAATGGACTGGTGGTTCCTGCATGCTTAAGAAGATGCAGCCCCATTGTGTTTTAAATATACTCTTTTCAAGACTCTGGGCTTCTCTGGTTGCTCAGATGATAAAGACTCTGCAATGCAGGAGGCTCAGGTTCGATCCCTGGGTCAGGAAGATTCCCTGGAAGAGGGAATGGCTACCCCCTCTAGTATTCTTGGGGTTTCCCTGGTGACTCAGATGGTAAAGATTCTGCCTGCAAGGCAGGAGGCTTGGGTTCAATCCCTGCATCAGTAATATTCTCTATCCACTCCAGTATTCTTGCCTGGTGAATTCAATGGACAGAAGAGCCTGGCAAGCTACATACAGTTCATGGGGTCGTAAAGAGTCAGACACGACTGAGTGACTAACACTTTTGCTTTTTTTCTCAAGATTCTTGACATCTCTTTCATGAAACACAATCCTCAAAGTAAGAGAATAATTTGTAATTCACTCTCTTTTCCTCCTCTTTTTGTCATTATGTTAAGAGGATATTCATAGAACAATGTTAGGCTTCCTATTGTGTAGGGATGACTTACTCGACTACAGATGACTTTGTCTATTCTTGTATCATATACACATGTATTTGCATGGTTATTTTTACTCTCTACATGAGTAAAATCCATGCAAAGTAAATTACAGTAGTGACAGGCAAAAAAAAAATGAATAAGTTGTAATTGAAAAACACATTGCTTTTCCAAAAGAGATTTTAAATAGGCATCTTATGAAATGAAAATGCCATGGAAGTGTTTGAGGGTTTGGGGTTAGTCTTTTCTGCAGCTGGGATGAGTTTCCCAATTCACTGCATGGGAAACTGGTAGAAACAACTGGCAGTCTGAAGGCCAAAGCTGAAGCACATGTCTCATCTGGGATGTGAGCAGCAGCTGCATTCCTTCCACTGGATGAAGAGTCTTCCAATTTTCCTTTTCACCAGTGAATGTTTTACCAACCTGTTTTTCACCCTTCAAGTGTGTGACCTGGCTCCAGATTACTAATTTTCTTTTTTTGGTGGGAAAGTTGTTGGTCTTTTATTTTGTGGCTGCTTTTGTTTATTTCTTTTTTGTTGTTATTGTTGCTTTTGCTACAGTCCAGTTTTAAGAGAGAGGAGGTGCAAAATCTGTAGACATACCATAGTGATGCTTAAAAATGGAGAATTTTTTCTGTTTAGAGTTTATACCAAAGGAGTGTGTGTGTGTGTGTGTGTGTGTGTGTGTGTGTGTGTGTGTGTGTGTGTAGGGAAGTCTCCATGCTGCTGTTCATAGGGTTGCAACGAGTTGGACACAACTTAGCAACTGAACAACACATATATACTCCAGGTTCCCCAGATGTAGAGTTCTACCAAAAGTAAAATACAAAGCCACACTCCCACATGTTAATACTTTCAGGTGGATCTGACGTAACTCTTTCAGGTGGAGTTGATGAAGTGAACAGATGGCAGAAAGGAAATATTTTAAATGATTCGCTAAGTGCGGAGAGTTTGGCGGGGGAGAGAGGGGAGTTGTGACAGGAAGGAGCAGAGCTTCTCAAGCTACCAAACCTTGCTTTACCTTCTGTACTACCCCAGTTGTTATTAGATATGTAACTACTGCTTAATTCCACCCAAGCTACACAGCCGCCTGTGCTCTTCTTCCAAAAGAGTCCATCATGAAGTGCTGAGTCTGCAAACCACAGGGGCCAAGAGTCACTTCTCTCCATCTCCCATCTCACACCTGCAGTCTTGATTTAAATGGCTGTTTCAAAGAAATATCCCTTGATCACTTGAGTTTATGAAAAACAATTATGGAGGAAGAACAAACATTCAGAGGATATGCTGTGATATTTTAGATAGATAATTAATAGGTAATAAAAATGAAAACACCCCTAAGGGGTAGTACAAACTGAGATTTGGGGACCAGAGTAGAAAGGACTATTGTCTGGAAATGGAACTGCTCCATTCAAAAGATAATTTCAAAGCAATTTTAGCGCCCAGAGATATATAGTTCTTCCCTAGGAAGCAGAAAGTTTGTGCCCTCCATGTGCAACAGGAAGTTGGTCACCTGGGTATTAAAGGTACCACAAAAATGAGCTGAATCATGGCAGGAGAGAAAAGAAGACAAACTATAAAACTGAATTCAAGGCCTAGAAGAGTTAAATTCACTAATCCAATTATGGCATTTATGATCTATTATTATTTTCTTAGCAGCCTCATCCTTTTGCTCATTTTTACCATGTGAAGTCCTTACAAAGAGTACACTTATTCCATAAGGTATTGCCAGCTGTGAGAGGAACAGTACTGAACCTCCTTGACTGTTAGTAATTTTGAATATGCAGAATTCCTTTGAGAATTGGGTTGTGGCTGACTAATAATTTCCATATCAGTAGTATCCATTATGTTCAGCCGGCATGCAAAAAGATAAACAAAGTACTTCTAATTAGTACTGTGTAATAATAGGTCATCTTGTGTCCATTTTACATGAAGCCACAAATTGTTGCCTCCTTCAAAGAGATGAGCTGAGGCCTACATCTGCAGAGTGACATGTCATTTGAATGTTAACAACTGATGTCTGAATTTTCGGCGGTGGATTAATCCCTCTGAAGTTGAAAGAACAGAACTCGTCACATCTACCACTTTCAAAAGTGAACATTCTCTATAGAACGCTCAAATACATTAATATTTAACATTTCTCACTGAAACCATGTCATACTCTTTAAATAAAAATCTCCGTGGGTTTCTCCTTGATTTCCTGCTCTTGTTTAGCTAAGCTGGCATTTCATCAGCTCAAATCAATTTACCGAATATATTTTGACTTGAACAGAAAACAACAGGGTTCTGAAAGTACCATGGAAAACAGTCTCTGCAGTCCCTCAAAAGTGCCTGCCCTATCAAATGTTTCCCTTTCTGATCCATATTAGATAAAGAAACTGGAACCCAAGTGATGCTTTTACATTGTTAAATTCTCATCAATGCAAAAAATAAAATAAATATATATATATATATATATATATGCTGACTTCCTCAAATATCATGCTTAAAGAAACAGCATGCTAAGAGGACATGTAGTTCAATATCCAGCTGACAATATGCACTAACCAAAGGCAGCATGGAAGGAACCATTCATGATATCATAAAATGTCTAACAAACTGAATTCATTCTTTGGGACTGATAATGAAGGGTTGAGTTCTGCTTCTAAGATGTCTTTCTTAGGCAACATCTCACAGACAAGCATGTGGGCCTCTGTGAACCCCTAGGAGTCATTTATTAGCAACTACGAACAGTTTGGCTTAGGGGGAATGTATCTGCCAGTGGAGTGGCAACAGATTCCAGCAAGTCTCAGGCAATCGGTGATGCTGAGAAAAGGTCTCAGCATCAGTGGCCAGCTCCATGAGCCCATAGCTGGACAGAGTGCTTTCAGAGCAAACACCATAAGTGTCTTCCAGCAGGAGCTGACAGTTGTACCCATCAACTCAATAAGCAGCGTTCCCCAGGTCCAGAATGGACAGGACTGCTGGTCACACAGCCCATCATCCCCACTCCCATATGCACACCCACACATTTGCAGTTTGCTTTTGAGGATTCCCTCCTTCTTGGACAGATGTTAACAAGGAAACACTCTTTCTCACAGATGTGAAACTGCACATGACTAGCTGAGCTGGGAAAGACACTGACAATTCCAAGCTGGACATCAGTGAACTAAAATAGCAACACAACATGAGACAGTGGTTATCCGGAGTAGAACAACTGCTATTTTCGGAATGAGGAGGAAAAGACACTGGATGTGGACAGATCGCAAGATGCCGGTGACTGGCGTCAGATTGCAAGGGTCCTCAGTATGCCAATTTTCTCCAGCTATTTGGTGGCATCTGGAGAATGCGGCCACCCCTGCGGTTGGTGGACTTCTCTGCCTCTGGTTTTCCTCCACGGAGGAGGAGGGGGCGCAGCTGCAGCTCCCAGGCACCCGTTGGCGAGACAGAGGGAAGCGCCAGAGGCACACAGAAGGCCCTTGTTTCTGGAAGCCCACCTGCTTTGGTCGTCACTTTCAAGAGGTAGCCGTCCAGGTCGATGTGGAACTGCGGCGCGTGGCAGGGCAGCGCGATGCGCGAGCCGTTCCAGCGCACCGTCAGGTGCTGCTGGAGGCTGACGGTGCCGGCGCCCAGCACCAGGTCCACCGACTTGGTCCAGGAGAAGGAGCGGGTCCTGCGCGCGTCGTTCTTCACCAGCACCTGAAAGGGCGAGGCAGGGGAGGAGCAGTCTTTTGTCAACACGTACTGACACGTCCCCTGAAAGTTAAATGTCCGTCCGTCAAAAGTGTTGTAGTGGGGGTCTCCGAACACCGTGCAGACGCCGGGCTCTGCGGATGAGTGAGAGACAAAAGCAGGTCATAAACCGAGCACAGGATTCAAAGAGAAAACAGGGGTCTCTGCAATAAACCTGATGGGGCACCTGCCATAAAGGGGGGGCCTGAGCAGAGATGCACTAAGGAAAATCAACTTAAAAAAAAAAATCGGTTGTTCCAAAAGTTTGTACCAAATCTCATAGGACATGAAGTACTTCTGGTGCTTTTACACTTAAAAGTTACTTATGACACTTCCAAATTTTTAAAGCATCTCTATTTTCGAGACTTGATATGCTTCTATGGTTTTAATGTCAAGGTTAGATAAATGAAACCAGGATGATTTTGTAAACAGAACTGGCCAAATTTCATAATCCATATAAAGGAGAACAAAAATATAAATAAAAGGCAGTAGCATATATGACAATTCATCAAAGCAACAATATTGTTTCCTTTTAACTGATTCAAAAAATCAGGGGACATGGTATTCTAAATGTTATTCATGGTCTTAAAAAAGTATTACATTCAATACATATATTTCTAAGGACAGATAAACAGACTTGCCAAACAGATACATGTTTAATGTTGTTAAGAAACAAAACACTGATAAAACTGTCTCTGTGTATTTTCTAGAAATACAAGCCTCCTATATTTTGATCTTTGTATTCAAAATCAAACATTGGATAAAAAATAAATTGTACAAACCATCATTTAGTAAGTTTAAGAAATTTCAATGAATTCATCACTTCAAAATACCAGTAATACAAATACTTATGAGACCCAAGTAAAGTTTTATGCTTTAGGGCATTCCAAAGGTTTACATAGAAAATTAAATATCATTTCTTTTTTTTCAAACAAAATTTGACATTGATTTGTTTCCCATATAAAGATATTTTATCTGTTTTAAAGAAGGCATACACAACCAGGAAATGAGAAATTCAGAGAAATTAGTCCAAACTAAAATAAAAAGATCAGTTTCTAGAACAGGTCAAGAACATGACACTATCTCATGTAAATAATAATTCTGAAGATGTAAGAGGAAAATGAAGCATCCATCAGGAGGAAGGATGTGCCAACAGATCTGGTAGGACCAACTGGATCCAAAGCAAACATTTGCTTTTAATTTCTAAAGTGTTTGGAAATTAATGTTGTTTTATGATACATTATGTCATTTCATATGTCAATTTCATGTGACTCCACATAAATCAGATGTATTGGGAATTTTATAAATTAATTACTTGTCTAAGCCTTTCTGGTCAACACTTAATAAAGACTCACAGAACTGATCATTTCTGATATATAGGTTTCAATGAATACTTTAAGGAATATAGAAAGGGCATTACTTGGGGGAAGAAGGTGGGAGAGAAAACTTGAAAGCTCAGCAGCAACATTTTAATTCACCCTCCATTTCAATTTCTTTCTTACCCTTTTTTATGGTCGCTTTTTCAGTATGACTCCAATTTTACTCAGTTTGTTGCATCACAGTCCCCACTTTCCAAATCCTATACCCACCTCCAAGTAGTTTTCCCACCTGTCTAACCACTCCATACTGCATTTTCCAGTCCCCTTCTCCATGTTATTGCTTTCAAAATTGTCCTATCACACATTTCTCTCACATTCTGATGAATGGAATCCCTCCCTGGTATGAGAATGGTGCTTTCTGGTTGATAGGAAGCAACGAAGTTCTTTGGGACACCCCAAGTGGCATCTGGAGAAGTATAGTTCAAAGTTAATACTACCACATGCCACAAAAGAACTCAATGTTAACTTGACCACCAGATGAACCAAATTCAAGCAAAGGGCTTTTTCAGAGTTTTTAATGCCACATACTCAACAAGAAAACCCAGAACCAATCAAGGTTTTTGAGCTCTTGAGCTCGTAACAGATGGATTTCAGCTTGCAATGGCCAAGATATAAATGAAGGAGCTGAAATTATACTCCTGAGAAATCCTCTCGCTGCTGCTGAGCAGGCACAGGGAATCCCTACACACTTTCTGCCCAGAGTCTGCAGGGAACATCGTGTGGCTTCTCCAGGTGTTCTGATTCCAGCTGCATCAAAATTATCACTAACAAACACAGGCATAGCTAACGTTTACCAAGAATTTACTACACACCTTAGCACCGTTCTCCATGCCTACTGATCATGGACACACTCTAAGAAAATGGATATTTAGATTTTCTCCTAACATTAAACAAAGAGCTAAGCCTTTGGCAGTAAATCCATAAAATGAACTATTATCTAGTCATTGAAAAAGTTTGTAAATAATGTTCATGATTGAAGAAATACTTATGCCATGTTAAATATAAAATAGGAAACCAAATTCTATCTATACAACAAATCTTGACCATGTTAAAATAAATATCCAAACACCTACAAACCCTAAAATTATAAACTGAGGTTGTTTCTTAGTGGTAGAACTTTGAGTGATTTTTTTTTTTCTGCCTTACGCTGTTCTGTTTTTATTTTTGTTGTTCTCTTGTTTTTAAGAGTCCAAGTGTGGGGTATATGTCAATAAGGTCAATTACATGACAAACTAAATCCTCAAAGAAGCAACAGAAAATATACTGCCTGGAGCATGGCCCAGGAGTCCAGGGAAAAGCTGAGCTGAATTGTAGCTGGGCAGGAAGCAGTGAGCAACATCCAGGGATACCAGGCAAGGGAAATTGTCTGAGCAGGGCTATCAGGAAAGATATTTTTCAAGAGGCCCTAACTTGTGGAAGAGAAGGGTTCGGAGAACAGGATGATTTTCTTTGTAACGGCAAAACAGAAGAAGCCAACAAAATCTCACGAGGAAGAAGATGCCGGAGAAGTACGGGCTGCATTTGGGGACATTTGTATCCTGAACTAAGATAATTTTGAAACCTTGGCCCTTTTTTCTGTCTCCTCAAGGTCCCTATGCCAGATCCCGCAAAAGCAGTGAACACGTGCACTGGAGAATAACTGAGAGTGAGAATCTCAGGGTTACCAAATCTGCCTCTCTGAAAAGGAAAAAAGAAACTAGAGAAATACCTAGGGAACAAAAATGAGCATTGTATCTGCATATAATTTTTGTTCAGCAGACCCAGTAAAATGAGCCACAGTCCAAGACATCCTGATGTCCAGTCACAGTCTTCTGGGAAGGCTGGAGAGAGAGAGCTAAACAAACAGACCCTTCCATAGTTAATCTTGCTTGAATATATTTAAGTCAGAGGATGGAAAAATGTCAGTTTACAAGCAGCAGTATGTGTTTTCATAGTCCTTTAAGTCAAATCATCAGATGTCATTTTTGTTTTGGTTTGTTTTCAGTAATATGTATACAATGTCTAGGCACTGGATAAAAAGATTAGAAGTGCATAAACCCAAATACTAAGAATGTTTTTTTCTCTTAGGTAATGAAATTATGTGTGATATTTATTTTCCTCTTTCTTGTTTATGTGTATATACATTATTATTTACATTTTATTATTTACAATCACTATGTATACTCTTGGAATAAGGACATTTGTTTTAGAAACTTAAAAATACTGAATTAAAATGTATCTCTTTGATGTTGCACACTTTAATAAGAAAGCTAGGAGAATTAAGAGAGTCAAGCTGCTTCTAGAAAAAAAAATTCCAATGTTTTGCTTTTATCCTCATCAGGTACATTTATTTCTGCCATGAGTATGTTTATTCTAATAAGATGCCTTCCTTCTGAGAGCAGTGATTATTCTCAAACATCCATCAATGAAAATTAAGGGGGAAGTGTACTTCATTGGAGGTGGGCATGGCACCCACTCCAGTATTTGTGCCTGGAGAATCCCATGGATAGAGGAGCCTGATGGGCCATAGTCCATGGCATAGCAAAGAGTTGGACATGACTGAAGCAACTTAGCACACGTGTATGCATATAACTTCTTGTCATAAAAAAATAAGAGAAATTGAGAAGATTCTAACCCGCTTCCCTCAGAATACAATAAAACAAAAACAGAAAAGCATAAGAATAAAAAAAGTATCATTCACGGTTCCACCACCAAGAAATAATCCCTGTTTATTATTTTGGGGTGTGTGGGGAGTGTGTGTGTATGTTTGTGTATATTTTTAACAAAGTTAAGATTATCCTGTACATGAAATTTTATTTCCTCTTCACTTCACATAAGATTTCCCCAGTCACTAAAGTCACTTTGAAAACACAGAAGGTGACTTTCATTCTCAGTCCATTAGTACCTCTGTGAACAGAATCATCTATCCAACTCCTTGCACCAAACCACCAAACAGATCAGTATATTTCCAGAATAGTGTTCTAACCACGAGGAAGTCTATCAAATAAAAACATGACTTTCAACTTTCCTCCACATCAACTGCGGCAAAATGGGCCCTGTGGAATTCCAGGGCCACTGGGTCATGCAGGGCCCCCTGGGAACCCCAGGTGGGTAAGAGCTGTGATGATGCCAAGTTTGGGTCAAGAACCAGGAAAGGCTGGGATTAGAAACACTGCCCTGAACACAAGCCCTTATGCTGTTTGTCTAGGCTCCTCTTGACATGATGTAAGCCGCCAATATAAACAGACACAGCAGGAACTGAACTTCCCCATGCGGGAGGCTCTGGCCTCCCTCAGAGGTGTCCCTGACAGCTGCTTCCCCGAGGGGGCCTGCAAAGCCAACAGAAGCTCCACCGAAGGGCACCTGGATTCCTTTCAGATTTTACACCCTTGGCTTTTTAAATCAAAACTTAATCTGATTTTGCTGTGTGAATGTGGGGGAAGGGCATAGTGAGTCTCTTTCCACTCATCCCTAATCCACCAGACAGACTTACAAATCTGCAAATAAAAAGCTGATTTTTTTAAAGTTGAATAGGCACCTGAAACTAATTTTAAAAAATAAAAAAATATTTGATAGAGAGAGTGCTAAGAATGTAAATTTCTTTTCACATAACTTCATGACCTCAAATCCTTACCAACCCCAAGCAGAAGAGCAAAGGACACATTCCCCCCAACCCCCACACCTTTGAGATCTAATAAAAACTAAATTTACCCCTAAAGCCCTGGCTGACATCCTAT